TATTCGCAAAGTACAGTTTGACTCCTGGAGGAAAAATTAAGGCGAAATAGCCGGAACGTCGTCTTTTGCCATTTGGGACTCTTTTGTCAACATTTATCGCCGTACATAATGTAAAAGCGAGGGTACAAGCCGTCGCATTCTTTACTGAAACTTTCCCCAGAAGTAAAAACGAGTTTTAAGTTTTTTTTCTACTTTTTTGTTGGTACATCTGTACCGGTGAAGGGGAACTTTTTTGTGCGGCAAAGTCATATTTCACAAGCAGGAAATCTCAAAATGTAGTTGGGGTTTCATTTTATGGTATATTTATTCTTTTAACTATGCTTCAATAATAAAACTGGCGTACTAAGGTTAATTTTTGGTAAAGCCAAAATGGAATAGTCATACATTATTTCATTAAGTAAAATTTTAAACCTTATTTTAAGGTTTATTTTTATCGTTAAATGTTCTGTAATAAAATAAAAATGTATTACTCAGTAATTTGGAGAGTTATCGATTTTGCAATCAGGTTTTCAAGTTTGTTTACATGATTTTTTAAATCTTATTAATTTATTCATTAGAGTTCGTGGTCCGATTGACCGAAAAACGTTTTTCAATTAATTAATCTTTATATAAGTCAGGATAGCTCAAGTGGTAGAGCAGCGGCGTATTTAGCCGAAGGTCGTGAGTTCGAATCCCGCTCGTGACATTGACTTTTTTATCTCAACCAATACCTTATATAAAGATTAATTGATTGTTGATTTAGTTGTACAAGAACTAACCAAACCCTGGAGTTGGGGAAATGCTGAAGCTATCTCGACAGACCAAACTGATGAAAAAATTGTAATAAATAAAGGTACTGATCAGGCTGAAAAACTAGCAAAAGCAGGAGTAGATTTCAATCCTTTGGACCAGTACCGCCTGTAGTTGAGTTTTTCATTTTTTCATGGTAAAGTGAATCTAGCAATCTCATTTATTTTAGTAAACCTTAAACTTGTCCAGAAATGCATAAATTTCTTAATGTCTCTAGAAAATCACAACATTTCCTTAAAGTGGATTCCGGGACATGAAGTATAGAAGGAAATGAAGGCCAACCAACGAACCAAAAAAAAAACGGGCAGCCTACCAAAATTACAACGAGTGCACCGTTCACACATCTCCCGCTGCTGCTTTTCCACCTTTCATCAGTTCCGTCGTGCCAGTTCTTCCCATTTGTACCTGTAAACTCCTAGTTTCGTCCGTATTCTCCTTTACTTTGACTATGGATTTATCGTTTACGGCAGGAGCTGGATGAAAGATTTAAGCACTTAATGGACTGTTTTATACATTCATTTTCGGCTCTCCAAGGAGGTCCCATGTGACTAATGGGAAACTAATGGGAGCACTTTGGCTTGAAGTGGTTATACCCTTCCCACCGCAGGCTATACTTCCTTGGCTTCCTCCACCAAACAATATCCCCCAATTCCCACTCTCCTCCTCTAATCTATAGGTCTTCGTTCACAATGTCACAACCGTCGTACCCGTTCTAGCTCTTCTGATTTCTGTACACAGAACGACTGCTTTTAGGCGTTCCTTCCTCGTCCGTTCATCCAGCCTCTGGAATTCCCTTCCTCACTATATCCGCCACACTCCTTCCCTTTCCACATTTAAGTCGCGCCTATTTGATTACCACCTGTTATGGTAATCCTATTTTGCTTAGAACCAGTTGCCCTAATTGAAAAATCATTAAATCAACTGTCTTGTTAAACATAATTGTCTTTTTAATTTCATACACTTCATTTTTACTAAATGTTTAAAACGTATATACAATTTTTTGTAACTTTGTAATAGACATTTTTCTTTTTTATTTGTAATTATTCAGAAATCGTGAGATGCGGTCTGGTGTGATGTAGGTTTCATAAAAACATTTTACTTATCGTGCCAACGTTTCGATCTTTATTGAGATCATCTTCAGCGCCTGAGATTTACAAACATTGTTTACATTTAACAAATACATTTAGGATGTGGAAAAGTGAATTTATACAATGCAAAGTATATTTTTTATATTCAATCAAAGTATTTCTACTCACTCAAAGTGTTTGTTTTCTGTGTAATTGTGCCATTCTTGCTTGTCGTGTTGAGAGTGCCAGTGAGATTTTGCTGTTTTATGTTTACATACGTTGGATTTTGAAGGGGTGGGGAAGGAAGTTGGTATAGAAAAGACATTTTTGTACAAGGCGTCGGCTTCTTTGAGGTGAAAAGAGCCGACGAAGGGAAACAATGTGTTGGTAATGGTTCGGCCAGATTATCCTTTCAGGATTATATAGAAAGGGCTAAATAGGAAAAGGAAAGCTAAATTGTTGAAAAATTAGACTATGTAAAAATGTTTGATGTGTGGAATGTAATGTGATGATATAAGTATGTTATCTGTATTGAATTTGATTAATGATATTGGCGTAACTGCGACTGAATTTACATGTATCTGTACTGTAATTGATGCTGTGTTTATCTCAGTTGATGTAAACCATTTCTAAAAAGATACGTTTATGTTTGTTTTGTTCTGTGTGTAACATTTTTGGATTGTTGAAGTCGTAATTGTGTTTTCGTTCATAATGGTGGGTAGCGAGTGCTGTAGGATTTTGTTTGGGTTTTTTGCAATCATAGATATGTTGCTTTTCTCTCTTGTTTAGATATTGGTAGGTAAGAACGATGTAAGATGCCGGACAGTTTAAACAATTGATTTTGTACTTTGTAGGTAGTAATTGTTATGGAGGATCTGTTTGTATACCTTTATGCTCTTGTGGTGAAATGATTCATGGCTTAAGGTAATCATTCTGTGAAGTAACCCTTTGACCGTGTTTATTATTGTATGAAGAGGATGGCGAGATGAAAAGTTGAGGTAGCGATCTGGGTTTCTTGGTTTTTGATACCAATCTGTGATTAATGTGCCATCTGGTTATTTTATTGCGAGTGTATCTAAAAATGGTATTTTTTTGTTGTTTTCGATTTAATGCGTAAATTATAGGCGTGAGTGAAAGCTATTAAATGTGTGTGTTAAATTAAAGTTGTGGTATGACTGTATTTAATAGATGTGTCATAATTATGTCTGCCAGTATCGGGTCGATTTCTGAATAATTATCGATTAACGGTCACTAATCACCACACACTTTTTTATTTGTGTTGATAACGAGTCTGGATACAGCTGTATTATGTAGTTTTGTTATTCAAGGGGGCTTTAAGCCCCTGAATAAAGGTTATTTTCTTCTTCTTCTTCACCAGAGTGTGTGTAAGTTTGAACTGAGAAAATGGCTTGAGAAAGAAAAACTCAAGCACTGGAGAAAAGCACGAGTTATAAGGCAAGAACGCCTGTCTCTCACTCTCTCACTATCTCTCTCTCTCTCCCTCTCCCTCTCTCTCTCTCTCTTTCTCTCACTCACTCTCTCTCTCTCTTTCTCTTTCTCTTTCTCTTTCTCTTTCTCTTTCTCTTTCTCTCTCTCTCTCTTTCTCTTTCTCTCACTCACTCTCTCGTTTTCTCACTCTCTCACACAATTTCTCTCACTCTCTCTCTCTTTCTAACTCTCTTTCTTTCTTACTCTCTCTCACACACTTTCTCTCTCTCTCTCTCACCCTCTCTCTCACTCTCTCTCCCTCTCTCTCACTCTCTCTCTCCCTCTCTGCTTCTGCCTTTCTCTCACTATCTCACTATATTTCTTTTTCTTTCTTTCTTTCCCTCTTTTTTCAACCTCCCTCGCTCTCTCTGTCTCTCTCTATTTATCTATCTAGCTATTTATCTTTCTACCTATCTCTCTCTCACTCACTCTCTCTTCCACACTAAAAACAGCTAATTTTGAGTTATNTCTCTATCTATCTATCTATCTATCTATCTATCTATCTATCTATCTATCTATCTATCTATCTATCTATCTATCTATCTATCTATCTATCAATCAATCAATCTATCTATCTATCAATCAATCTATCTATCTATCTATCAATCAATCTATCTATTATCAATCTATCTATCTATCTATCTATCTATCAATCTATGAATCTATCTTTTAGCAGGAAAGATTTGACGAATATTGTAGGCTTCTATACAGACACTGCCAACACTACCACAAAAAGAAGAGGGACAAAGCAAAACCAGAAACATTCTGACTCGATCCAGAGGAACCAGAGACATATCCTTTGTTACTGTGAAGCATTAAACCGGTTACGGTAAAGTACTTACAAATACTTCGGTAAGGTAATTCTTACACCACAAGAAGCGCCGAGGTAAGTGCTTCCTTATAGAAAAAAGTGTATTTTCCAAGATATGGTTTAAAGGGCTTCACAATAGATTTAAACAGGTCGCAGCAGAGTAAAGGATTAAAGCGCAGACAGTAATGTACAGAAAGGGAAGACTAGCGCTCATTCATCCGGTCTCTTTTAATGACTTAAGGCTTTTCAAAACACTCTTCAGTGCAAAATGTTCTTGCTCGACTTTTTTAACTTGGAATATTCCATTGTTCTAAGATAATTTTGAGACTAACCATATCCCTGGTCTTTTGTACATTATAACAGGCATCTAAGGATCACCAGGGACTAAATTGGATTCTCCTGGGTTCAACATTGTCATTACCTTATTAAATTCACTAGTTTTCATGGTCCGCTTAGCCAATTAATATCTTTCAATTAATTGAGGTTTTTAGTTGAGATAGAAAGGGCAAAACGGAGGGTAAATTCAAAAGGTGGGGTTGAGATGGGAAGTTTGTGTCCGAGTGGATCGATGTCACGATAGCTCAAGTGGTAGAGCAAGGTTCAACCGAAAGGGACTTTTTATCTCAACTAAAAACCATAATTAATTGAAACATTGTTAGTACCATTGTCTAATTTATGACTAATTTACAGATTCTAGGAGCAGTGCAGCACTATTAGCAAATTTGTCAATCTTTAACGAATCGGGTGGAAGGAAGTTAGGTACAAGAAATTAAAAAATCCCAAGTTTCAACAATGCCAAGAAAACCATATTTAATGATTAATTAATAAGATGGATTTCCACTAACCTTATGTGCTATGTCTGAGTCTTCTCGTTTAATTGGTGTTAAAAGTTTCGGGTCTGGTGTGTAATCGCGGTAGCCGGTCGGGCTCGGGGTCGGCTTCCCCGACCTCGGATCCGAAAGAAGGCGGCTCTCTGTTTCAGTTTCAAACACGTCGTCGCTCATACTGTCATCAGTCGCCATCACCTGGAACCATATTTATACAAAATGAGTAAAAAGTAAGGAAACGAGTTTTGTTACATCAATACAGACCTACAGTTTATATTAAATATAGACTAACTTTATGGTGATTGGAGAAATCTGATTTTTCAAAGTTCATTCAAATCATTCAGATTAAATTACAAAGAATGTACGTTTCATTTCAAAAAATATACCAGACATTATATGAATATATGAGCGTTTTTTGATCTGAAGATTTTCAATTCTTTAGTCCAGCTTTGCTCGACATGGTGAAATTTCTCGAGTTTCCCCTTCGCCGTCTCTTTAGATTTCTTCTTTCAATACGTACTTTTACCACCGCCCCGGTCGTATTAGACGTAATAAAAATCTGAGTCGAAAGGGGAATAAAACCAGTCGGCAATCTCAGCGGAAATATAAGTAGTTTGGAAAGGTCCTGGCCAAAGGGTGAATGGAGGGTTTCCTGGGAGTCAGGCCTTTAACTTGACACGCACACGTATGGAAAGGGATTAGAGACTGTAAATACGAGGGAAGTTATTAACGGAGTAGAACTCGTTTAGAATTTCCTGGTTGCATTGAAGGATTAAGAAATGACATGGATTTTAATAATTTTTATAAAGCTCGCTGGTCTGATAGTTAAATCTGCGGCAGACTATCCCATTATCTCTCTCTTACCAACTAACCCTCTCTACTAATCTATCTTTCTTTTTCTTTCTTTCCCTCCTTTTTCAACCTCCCTCGCTCACTCTGTCTCTCTCTATTTATCTATCTAGCTATTTATCTTTCTACCTATCTCTCTCTCACTCACTCTCTCTCTTCCACACTAAAAACAGCTAATTTTGAGTTATTAAACAAAGAGACCAATCCATCAATCTCTCCCTCTCTNTCTCTCTCTCTTTCTCTTTGTCTCTCTCTTTCTCTCTCTCTCTCTCTCTCTCTCTCTCTCTCTCTCTCTCTCTCTTTCGCTCTCAAAACCGACTTGTTATAACTTAGCCTTATTTAATACTTAACTTAATAATTAATTTTTTCAACCAAATTATTAATCTTAACATTTTATTGAATGAAAACTAAAGGTAATTACTAGTTAGGAAATTTAATTCTAGTGATAGTAAACGTTACAAAAATTATTTATAAATCATTAAATTATTTCTCACTGAATTAGAAAAAATATAAGAATATCTTGTAAAGCAAAAGCATAAAATTATAAACCAATTCTGGCAATAATGCATCCACTTAGAGAAACTCAATAACTTGTTAAAAATTAAATTGAATATAACCAAGTGTTAAATGATATGCCAAGAAAATAGTTTTATTATATTTGTGTTTATTTAAATTACCTGCGTATTATTCAGTCGCGTTGTTTACTAAGCCTGCATTACTATTAAATTTGAAAACTGCGGTACACAGCCGACACACAAGAAACTTGTTTTGTATTTTCAAAATACTAAGATGGATTATAAACTATCCCTTAATAATCGACCCCATAGAGACAAAATACTTTTATTGTTATTTTGTGTTTATTTACTTTTTAAATAATTATTTAACTATCTGAGTAAACAAAAACAAAAAGGAATAACCTTTATCAAACTATCATATTGAGAGTTGATAACGAAGTAGTAGTTTAAAAAAAATATAGTCGGCCGTGATGTGCTGATAAAATCGAAAACGCAAGTAATAAAATATTTAAAATTTGCTATTTATGCTTGAAAAGTATAATTACGTGTTAAAACTGTTATATGGCTAGAGACGACGATTTGTCATTTCAAAAAATATTATTATTTATTAAATCCATTATATATCGTGGTCGGATTGACCAAATAACTTTTCCAATTAATTAATCTTTATGTAAAGTATTGGTTGAAATAAAAACAAGAGCTGAAGTGGTAGAGCAGCGACGTATTTAGCCGAAGGTCATAGGTTCGAATCCCGCTCGTGGCACTAGCTTTTTCATTTCAACCAATACCTTACATAAAAAGATTAATTAAATGAAAGAAGTATTTTGGTCAATAGACCACTAAATATAATGGATGTAATTAAATAATTTTAATTAAAGCTCATGAATTTCTGTTGTCGTTTCTATTTCTGATCTACTTGACTGAATGGTCAGTGGAGAGTGTACTTAGGGTAAAACTGCACACGTTGGGCTGAAAGTCATAGTTCGAACGGTTATCATCTTACCACAACATTTACATTGTCAGACTGAACTTAGAATTCGTATTCAATCACAATTTGTCAATAAAACCTTTGAAATTGGGCATAAAATGTGATTTCTACTGAAACAAATACACCGTTATTTTTTGTCAGAAAACAAAAACAACAGATTCAAGTAGAGTTCAATAATTTGATTCTTCTATTTTCACAGTAAACCTAGTGTTTTTAAATTATAAAAATCGGCATCGCCAAATAATATTTGTTTACATTTATGTTCACTTGCTTATTTTTCATTATGGATATTCTTTATTTTGCGACTGTATTATGTTTTTAGGTATTTATTTAATGAAACGTACAAAATACAAATAAATACATAATAAACTTAGTTTAAGGTAAATTTTGGCAAGAAGCGACTTGAAATTATATCCAGCGATAAATGATGGATGGTTTGTGGCCCGTCCAGCTTCGCCGAGTTTTGTTTCATATCGTTTGAACACAGTGCTCTCTATTTCGTCTTTTTATTGTTAAAGCCACTTCGGTTTAAAAAACAAATTAAACCTTTTTTAGAGATAATTTCCGATTAGATCTAGTTGACGCAAAATCGTTAATCACAGCAAAATGCTTTCGTGATAACGTCCGGCACCCTTGTTAATTTTTTTTTAAAATTTAGCAAATTCGTTAACAACCACATTTTTATGGCTATTGTAAAAATTTATTATTATAAAATTAACATTATCAATAATTACAACATAATACTTTTGATTATGTTTTGTAAGCTTATGGTTTCTCTTTTTTGGCCTTGCCTGTAGTGGTTATATTACATTGTAAATAAATAAATTTTGATCCATCTATCAAAAAATAGATTACAATTGATAGATAGAGATAAATAGTGACTAGAAATATATAGAGATCGGCAGATATATAGATTAATTATACAGATAAGTAGATACATAGAAAAAGAGAAAGAGACAAAGAACGAAAGATGAGGAACGGGAAATCGAGAAAAAGCAAATGAATGATAGAAAGAGAGACTAAGAAGATGAAAAAGAAAAAGATAGTGAAATAAAGTTAGGAATTGTGAAGAGAAGAAAAAACTATGAACAGGGGAACGAAAATTGATATTTACTCGCGCGAAGTTAGTTCTCAGGCAACTTTCTGCCACTTAGCGTAAGGGAGAGAGAGAGAGAGAGAGAGAGAGAGAGAGAGAGAGAGAGAGAGAGAGAGAGAGTGAGTGAGAGAGAGAGAGTGAGAGAGATTAAGAGGAAGAACAAGAAAAGAAGGAGAGAGAGATTAAGAGGAAGAACAAGGAAAGAAGGAGAGAGAGAGAGGGAATAAGAGAATGAGACAGAGAGAGAGAGAGATTAATAAAAAGATCAAGAAAAGAAGGAGAGAGAGAGAGAGAAATTAAGAGTTAGAACAAGAAAATAAGGAGGGAGAGAGGAATAAAAGAGTAAGAGAGTGAGAGAGAGAGAGAGAGAGAGAGAGGGATTAAGAGGAATAAGAAGAAAAAGAGAAGAGAGGGAAAATTAAAGATGCTAATTTGGATTAATAATCAAATTGTCTTCAGAAAATCTTTCACTTTTCTTAAAAGTAATCTTAGCTAAAGTTATATGGCATTAATGCCCGTTTGACAGTCATGGCGAGAGAAAGTAAAAAGAAAAAGAAGTGAGGGAAAATGAGTTTTTGCATGTGTGAAAGTTTGAAATTAGGTGCGTTTTATAGTATCAAGTAAATTTATTTTACATTAATCGAGTTTCAGAACGTACAATTGGACGTTACATGGTTCCTTCGACTAATAAAAGATATGATTGGTTGAAATAGCAAGCTCATGAACTGTCAGTTGTAAATAGATTATTATGTAATATTGGTTCACCTGGCATCCTCATTTTTTTTTTGGAATATTATAACAATATCGCGTTGGTTTTATATAAAAAGTAATTTCCCTTAGGCTAAGTCCATTTTCTATACAGTGGAGGCTCAATTATTTTTACGGTGTATTTTCAAAATGTTTACCCCTACCTTGTCCGGTGATAGCTTTTTCAGGCGGACCATTTCGAACGGAAGACGGCGGCGTACTGGTACTGCAAGCCGGATCGTACCAACTGTGTCAAGGCGGACCGTGATACGGGTGGTCGATAGTGGTGGCTAACTATAGCTTCCTTGCTTGATGGTTAAAGACCCCCGACCGTGACCTTTCAACGGGTTCGGGTGTTTTAATTTATTTTGTCAAATTGGATCAGGGCGCAACTTCGAAATAAGTGCGTTACCGCTCAACGCAAAAAAAGCCGATTCTTATCAACGGGTGAATTGTGTACAATTTAGTTTAAGATTATTGGGTAAGTCCTTCAAAAACGTTTTCTACATTCTAAATAAAGTAGTTTAAATTGTCGAATATGATTTCACGAGTGTTTTTTGTATTTGTCAAAATAGCCCATAATACATGTTGCTTTTGGTTTGCTAATTTATAGTCACACCATAAATATACAAAAAACCACAATTATAAACTTTATTACAAGAAAAAGTCAATATTGACACCGCTTTTGTAAAAGTTTAGTTGATAAAACGAGAAAAAGAACTAGGTCAAAATATTGATTTGACATTTATCACGTGGGCTGACCTTTTTTTTCAGAGGTAAACACTGGCAATTTGTGGCACTGAAGTCATAAATCATGAATGAATCATTACCACAACAATCTGATTGAAGTCTTCCACTGTATTACAGTATTTGTTTTATATGTTATGTATTTTATTTACATATTTGCACACAAATATGAGCAGAGTTTGATGCCGATTTTTTCAGACAATTCTGATTAACCAGACAAACAGAAGTTGATAAATTGTGAAAAAGAATATTTTAA